CCGGCGCCCTTCTAACTTGTTCTCCTTTGTTCCAGGAATCTTTTCTCAGCCTTACTGGATCATTCCTTCAATTCACGAGGGCCTTCCGTTACCTTTCCAGGTTACCACCGGACCTCGCAGGCTGTCCCAAGCAGCGTGGTTGATCACTCAACTGACCCACTCGAGTTCACCAAGGGAGAGATCTGTTCTCGTTTCTTATATTGTGCAAGATCCTGCACGCACAAGGACCATATTTCTATTATAGTTAAGCATTGTGAAGTTCCTAGAGGAAAACAAGGTCCAAAAAGATGTCATGAGAACTTATTCATTGTATGCAGTTTGAATTGTTTGTACATTTTTGCCTTTTGACTTTGTACTGTGTTCAATAATTGCTTGGCTGCTTCTTAAGAGCTTGTTCTTGTGTTGTGTTTCCTTGCAGGGTCAAGGGGTAATGCCTCATAGGACTAGCTTTCGGGCATCTCTTGTGTTTAGTGTGTTGGTTTGCAATAAAACTTCTGCTAATGAGAAAAAAATATCAATCAAATGTGCATGATATAATTTTGAAATAGACTATGGCCACCAACATCTACGGGAACTTAATATCAAAAATTCGCTTGTGGGATGTCTTCTTTTGGAAGCATATGGCTGCATGCATTGAATAGAATTCATTTTGGGTTTTCCTATCAATTATTATGGAAAGTTGCAGCATGCTTGATTTTTTGTGCACTTTTACTGCTTTGGTCATCAAATGAACTCTAGCAAATTATGTGGTGGAGAGAAAAGCATTAGAGTTGGATTGAAATCCCATTGTAACATTTATATTGTAATAGGAATTGTTTGACGTCCCTAGTGATTATTTTCTCATTCCCCCAGATACAACCCCTTTTTTTGAGGAGTCCACCTACTACTTCACATACTGATTTATGACTTGGTGGAAACTAAAGATTTCTCCACTGTGGAACATAACATCCATCTTTCTTCTTTTTATTGTGATCACTGTGTTTCAGATACTGAATCTGCCAAAGCAGCTCACGCACAGCTAAAAGAAGGCATCTATGCGGCACTGTTTGACTTGAATGTTCCAGCTGTTTGTGCCATCAACCAAGTAGGTTTTATTCATTCAAATTTCAAAATTGAAAGTCAGTTGATGCTTTTCATATTCATGTAGCTGAAGCGGTTAGAGAAAGAGAATACTTCTGTTTTTTTAAGTTTTAATTACCATTACATCACATTAAATAACTAGTGAAAAACATCACATCACATAACACCACAAATTATATGGGAACACAAAGTGCAAAAATGCAGCAGGTAGGCCTTGAAACTATGCTAGTGTGTGTTGGTCGGCTAACTCAGATGTCCTCTTGGGGTCTAAAGGGTACTCATTTTAATTAAAGATCTCGTTGGTGGTTTCTGAGTTCCTTCCTGAATAGCTCAGAGATGTTCTTTATAGGTTTTACCCCCTAATACAGTCGCTGTTAGAATTGCAGGCAACTTTAGCTTTATTCGCGGCTAGAAGGACTTCAGGAATTGTTGTTAATATTGGTTTCCACCAAACATCTGTTGTTCCAAGTAAGCTATATTGATATCCTTCCTTCCTAATGGTACAATTGGTTTGTGAAGAATTTTGTTGCTGTGTACTGTTGTAGGCCTATGAATTTCTGACTGATTGCATTTTATTTCTTATGTCACTCTGATCACTTAGATTGGTTCTACAATTGTCATGTTTGAGAGTTAAGGATCCTTTGTTTCCCTTCATATTTAGAATGATGCATTGACGTATAATTTTTGTCACCCAGTTTATATACTCTCAGCTTTTGACTTAAGTTGCATAAACTAGTGCTTGTCATTTGTTACTTATGGTGTAGAGTTTACTTTCTGTTTGAATCATCTGGGGCTTCTGTTCTGTGTGTATCCTCTACCTTATTTACAGTTTTACGTGGCAAAGTAATGCGCAATGTGGGTGTGGAAGTCGTGGGAATGGGGGCATTAAAGCTTACAGGATTCCTTAGGGAAAAGATGCAGCAGAAAAATATCCATATTGATTCATCATATACTGTGCGTTCATTGAAAGAGGTATCAATTTTGTCCTTTATTATGCAGAATGATGATTTTCTTTCAATTTATTCTTGTCACAGTTAGGTCCATGGCATAGTCACGTATTAGCATGTAGCATAAATATGACACCCTGCAATGAATATATAAGTCACTTTTTGATTGTTCTACTCTAAATCGTGCCACAGGCTCCTTGGTAATTTGAATTGCTTCATTACTCTAGACGCTCTCAGTTACTCTGGTCATGTTATAGGTTCTCATATATTGAAATTACAGATGTTCCATATTGAATCTATGAACACTCTGATTCATGTGAATCCATTAACATTTCTGTTTTTATTTTCCTCTTTTGTTCCCTGGAAAAAGATAGGTAGTAAAGATTCCTGAATATATGTGATCTTTCTCCACCAATTAGTGTGATGATATCTCAACTTTCCACAAAACTTAAGCAGTCTCACTGTTGCTTTCATTTCCACTGCTTGTACTCTTCTTATATCAACCAAAGGCTCAAGCCTCTATTGGTGACAATTCATATACCCTTGGGTAGAGGTTGCAGCAATATTCGAACCCACAAAATCCTCACCAATTTGTGGTCAATAAAATATTTAAAGAACTGAGTCAGGTATCCTCTAATGAATGGAGCTGACAGTTAATGACCCAAAGCCCGACCAGCTGAATTCAATCCATTTCCATCTCTATTGTAACGTTTACATATAAAGTTCTTCAATTTATTATTTAATTTTGTTTATAATATTCTAAGTGAACTCTCCAAATGCCCAAGTGGAAGTGTATAAATGGACTGGGCGTAGACAAGACTCTGGGTGAATCCAATATGATCTTTTAAGGGAAATTTCGATCCAATTTGAATATAAAAAATTAGTTTAAAAAAAATGACATAATTTTGGATTGAATTTCACCATAACTATTAACCCTGTTAGTTATACGTGTTACATTATTTTCCATTGTAATTTGTATATTGTTGTGATATTAAATATAGGACAATAGGAGATAGCCAAAGTTCCCTATGGTGGAGTAACACTAGCAGTCTACAGACTGCTACTGTTACTTCATCTGAGGGGATAGTGGGCATTTGATCATTAGCATGCCAGATCCTGTAACTACAAAGTTGTTTCACTAGTCAGCGCATCAATTGAAATGGATTAAAATCCATCGACAGGCTACTTCCAAGCACCTCTAGGTAACATATTAGGGGGGTGACCGTTGTGAACTCATCATTCACATGCCCACATACCAAAGCTGCCCACAAAGGACTACTTCTATTTGTCCAATATTTTGGTCATTCATAAAATTGACGGGCTACTTCCAAGCACTTCTATATAACATATGAGAGGGGTTACCTTGCAAACTCATTATTCACATGCTCATATGCATAAGCCGCCCATAAAGGACTACTTCTATTTGTCCAATATTTTTGGTCATTCATAACTATTTTGCTTATTCTTTCTTTTTCCTCTTCTACTTGTTTGGGAAGAAGGAAGGGTGAGGGGGCCTTTTCATAAAGAACAACAATAGATTTTATGAAAATCAATCAATTTTAGATTTCTTGTAATTGATGACTTCAGTTTTTATGGGATACATTTTTTTTTTCATGTCTTGTTTGATGCTATCTTACTTGGATGAACTCACAGAATCTGTGCTATGTCGCTCTTGATTATGAAGCTGAGCTAGGGAAAGATACTGAAGCATCATTTAAAGTTGCAGCAGAAGGCTGGTTCACTTTGTCAAAAGAACGCTTTCAAACAGGAGAGATTCTTTTCCAGCCACGAATTGCTGGAGTGTATGTTCATGTACCCATACATTTTTTTGCTTTTATAACATGGTGTGGTGAATCACTCTTTTGAAGTTATTTTTTCTTTATTATATTCTTGGACATCAAAAAAAATTGTTTTTAGTTGTCATCTGATACATGTTGCCAATGCAAGTTCTGATGCCAAGAAGTGATGTGGGCGTTGGTGAATATGATAAAATTGTGGTTGATATTTAGCCCTGCAAGTGAGCACATCCAATGTTCTCTTTCTCAATTTTCTGTCCTTTTGTGTGTGTGGCTATTTTTTTTTTTTTTGGGGGGGGGGGGAGTGATGACACTTATTTAATAAGGAATGAGTTCTCATCCCAGTAACAGTGTGTGCTGTTTGCAGCTATTATAGTTTCATATGTCATATGCCTTTTGGTGCAGGCGTGCAATGGGTTTGCAACAGGCTGTGGCACTTTGCATGGACCATTGCGAAGATGCAGAATTAACAGGCGATGATGGTTGGTTCAAGACGATAGTCTTGGCTGGAGGAACTGCGTGTTTACCGGGACTAGCAGGTATAAATCACTAATTTACAGTTCTAAAAGTATGACATGAGATGATCACAATTTTAGATCCCTTCAGTCAGGATGCATTCAAATACTGAATGGAGTCGGCTGGTTTTTTTTTTTTGGCATATTTTTTCCAGAAAGATTAGAGAAGGAACTGCATGAATTTCTTCCCTCGTTCATGTCGAGTGGAATCAAAGTTATCCCTCCCCCTTATGGTGCCGATTCTGCCTGGTTTGGGGCGAAGCTTGTCAGCAATGTAAGATTCTATAGTATGTTATCAAACATGTTCTGACATGCAAAAAAATACAGATGTTGCCATCAATTATGTCATGCTTATCCAAATTGTAGAAGATTTGTCCGTTTAAGAGAGATTCTCCACTGATTCCTCCTCAAGTGAGGTCCGGTAGAATTGTGAAATTTCTTACTCAAGAAAAAAAGAGAGATTTTAATAACTTGAAAAATTAATCTGATACTAGGGGGCGGGCCACTCATTATGCACATGTTTCTGCATTCCACGAGGCCCCTTCTCTTTATTTCAATGCATTGACTTTTAATTCATTAAAACAAAAGAGATGAAGTTATGTCACATCATAAGCTTCTCCACACCAAAACTGCCAGACAAAACCCCCTCTTCCCTTACTAGGATGGGGTAGATTGAATTGAAGCAGACTGTGATCCTTGTTAAACTTGGCTTCAAGGTCCAAAATGAATATAAGCGGTATGAGAATATTATGGGGCATCATTCATTGCTTTGCAATTTAACTTTTTCCTTTTTTGGTGTTGCTACAGCTGAGCACCTTCCCTGGTTCCTGGTGCATGATGAAGAAACAGTTCCGATCCAAGTCCAGGCGCAGCCTCATATGGTGATGTTTTCAATTATTTCCACTTTTCAGTCTCTTTGAGAATTTTACCTAGTTTGGCAAGACAATGAACTGGAGAAAAAATAAAAGTTAAATATACCAGAAGTGCCCAGTGAAATTTACAGAATGTATTTTTATTTACTTTTGGGTTTAAGAATATTTCATTGTAATTATTGTACTATACATATACTTCTGGATTGCGAGCATCCTATATGAAGAATTTTTCGTCATAATTCTTGTACTTTGATGTATACATATTTAGTATTACATTTAGGTACTATATGTAACGACCGCATTCAGAAATGATACGTTGAATTTGTTTGGAATGTTTAATAAAAAACATTGGAGTTTTCTTGTTGGAACCCTTTTATCTGCCCTCTTTTTTCCTTTGTTAGATATCTTGATGCAGAACCGGCGGTACGAATTATACACAGGAATTTCTTGATACTACCATGGCATAGAAGATCTTCCCTTCCCCTCATGGGCACTCACAGACCATGTATCTCCTATGAGGTTGATGAAGCAGAAGATTGTGGGGAGACGGTGGTTTGTCAAGTTTTCAATTCATTTCCATTTCCAGACTATCAAGCAGATTGATACCACTGCAGCATTTGTGCACAAAAAGTTAGAAATTGGAACGAAGTGTTGTTCAAGGGAATGCTGCCCAGAAATTCGATGCGACTTCTCAAAGACTATGCAACTTTGGTCTGTTGCGATGAAAAATGTTATTTGGACTCTAAAAGTCTGACTCTATTTGCTGACTCCATCGATTACAATCATTATTAAATAAGTAGTGAGTTTCAATAAATATTATGACTCGTAGATAAATTAATGATAGTAATTGATGGAATTAACAAATGATGTCGACTTTTGGAGTCCAAGTAACATTTCTCCTACTGCCATAAGTGATTTTAGTGTGGTGTGATGGTAGCTATCCACGGCATCTTATAGAGGGATGCATCTCGGTTCAGATAACTAGGATCCAGAGTAGCAAGTGATTAGTCTCATTTTTGACGCAATGGGAACGAATGGACATACATAAAATATCGCTTCTAAATGTATAGAACAGGAATAATTCTAAATTCATAGGGAAAAAAAAAAGAATAACAAAGAATATTATTGATGATTGAATAATAATTCGTATTATACATCACAATATATATAGGAATGAATAAAATTTTAATCGTCCCCAATATGGAAGTAACATTTTTAATTATATGAAAATTGTTGAAAGTAAAAAATTACAATTTAACTAAGTAATAAAAATGCATGTGTCGTCTAGAATCTAATAAAATTGATGATACTAAATTCAGAATTTCTTATAATTTGCTAATAATTTTCAAATTCTTTGGCAAACATGATATTTTGAGAGTCAAAACGATAAAATTTTATCCAAAATTATAAAATTTATGGCAAAATAATGAGTCTTGATCATTGACTCGATCCAAATTAAACACCAGGTCTCAATTAATTTCAAATCTGACCTATTTTGCCTCTACTATTGCATTTTAGCCTTTCATTGAGCTTTGAACGCACAACAAGCCACCTGTTCTAAGTGATCCACTGTCACCAGTTCTACATCAATTTTGGACCAGGTAACAGAGAAACCCCTGTAACATTTGCAATATCGACACACAAGTCTAAAAGATACAAACGGTTTTCTATGACATCATAGAAAAAGTACACACCGCGCTAACTTATTGACCTATGCTTGACATTATCTGCAGAATGTTCTGTTCAACGGCAAAGATTTTGGCCAAACACGAGATACTATTTTGCAATTGGATAAACCGGTAGAAAAACTGAATTTTGAGTTACTCTTTTAACAAAAGAATATGAACCCTAGCAGGTATGGACACACCTGAGACAACCTGGGCAGAAACTCCAGTTCAAAGACACAATGATTTTCTCGTGGTCGGGAAAATACATCAATCTACGAAGAAAACAATGTCTGAGGCTTCAAAACAACCACCATAACAACACTAGCAAGCCTCCTGTGAGCATTAGCAGAGGGGAGGTATTAGATATCTTATGACTCCCACTGTCATTTGCTGATTCTGTTGGTGATAATGCAGGGCATGCAAGCCCTTGTTTCCCCTCCTGGCACTCACTGGAAAAAAGGCCCGGTGGGTACTTCCCATAGATGTTGATGTAGCTAAACATGGTTGAGGCACAATCATTTGATAAATCATTCAGCTCGTCTGCGAAAGGACAAGCAAATTCTTTAAAAGCATCGCAGCATGGTTGGGGTAAGTAATGCGGCCCTCGGCACTGGCTAGTGATGATTGTGTAGTTCTGAAACTCAAAGTTAACCGGGCACGCTGCAGATAACGCAGGACAAAATAAGCACAAAATTGAAGCTTTTCAGATGTCAAAAAGAAGTTTGAGCTACACTTCAAAATGGGCTTGAAGATAAATTCACGATTGTTTGGATCAGCGAAATCAGCGCTTTCCATAACCATGTTTCCTCACAAAAATAACTGCTGAAGTATGCTCAAGCACCCAACACAACCCCACAAAGAAAAGCCATAAACTGTAGAGTAAGCATAATATTTGTAACTCAACAGGCCCTATTCAACTTGACAAACATTGAATTTCAATTGCCTGGAGAACTGCTTCATGATAATGCATAAGGAATAATAATAGAACATCCGAAGAAAATATCAAGAACTTATACAGTGCAGTACATGCAGAAGCTTGCTAAACAACTAAGTGGGTACCATTTGTGTAAGCATGTTGAGAACCTTGTGGTATTAAAACTCCACTTCACGTAATAGCACATTTTAGACATTTAGAAACTCATAACAGAAATTCTACATGATATGTGTGCTGAAGGTCTCAGGGCGACACCAACAAAATATATACAAGCAAGCATTGCAACACCATTGAAGGAAAATGTTGAAGATCCTAGTCTTTAAGTTCGTGATCTGGATTTTTGCAGTTCAGTTTTAATTGATTCACATCCTTTACACAATTAGCAAATAATGTGAAGTCGCAATTAAAACTGTCACTCATATAAGCTCTCTGTCATTAATCAAGTGTCTCTCCAATAAGGTTTTGAACTTCTAGTGCAATTGACAATTACGAACTTCTTATGGCTCATTATTGCACAACTGGATGGCATACTTAAATAAGTAAATCAAATGACATTATTGCTGAAATTCCCAATTGGCTCCGCTTGAAATGCCACAAGACGTAAAAAAGTTCAACCAACTTATATAAGCTGCCATGTGGATTGCAAGGTAGGGTGCAAAACATCTTAATATCTCCTACTGCCTTCTTACTCATTAGAATTCAAATAAAAGAGTCTCTATTCACCTCAATTTGCACTGATCTACAAACTATAAAATATCGATGCCAAAAAAATCTTGTTTCATTGAAACAGCTTTGCTGGTAAGTTGCATGAGAGATCAACTGGCTTTTAAGGTCTAATAGATACCTAATGGTCCTTAACAAGAGAAAGAAGAATGTACTTCGTAATGCCTTTATCTTCTAGTTACAAATAAATTTATCAACAGTATTGAATTCTTCTACACAGTAAACTTCAGTCTCTTGAATTGGCACAGAAAATAGGAAAACTTCAATGAGCAATCTCAAGATCATGATCTTTCCATCACCCATTCATCTCATAGTCATGAAAGATAGTGAAAATAAATAATGCCAAACTGTGCAAGTGCAGCAGCTCAAAAAAGTAATTCTTCAGGTGGAACAATTGGCATGCAATTTCCTTCTCAAAATTCAAGAATTTAAGGGAACAATTTTGAAAAAAACAATAACATTTTCAATTCTCCTATCCCAAAAGTATCCTATTCATACCCACAAAAACCCAAGACGGGTTGTCTTTGACTGTTTGACAAGAATAATCCCCAAGCATTGTCCATCAGCAAAGTCATTAATAAATATTCATCTCTCACTGAAATAAAATTTAGAAAAAAAGCAAAAGATAATGATAAAGGAACTCTCAAAAAAATTGAGAATCTATTTTCTAATTCTTTGGACTGACTACACTTTAAGGCAATTAATCCAACTAACATCATGTACAGCTCAAAAGATAAACCAATTTCAAGGCAAAATCTTCACGTATTTTAAGATTAATTTGAGCTAAAAAAAACAGCGTGTACACACACACACAGATATAATAATAACCACGAAAATGACTTCAAGCAAACAAATGTAAATAATTAATGAAAAAAAGAAAAATAAACCTGTCTTGGCCTGAAGAAGGTTCCGGCCGGTCGAAGCGTCAGACCCAAAGATCCCATCTGTGACATAAAACACACATTTTCACTTATACACGCAGAGAAAACTTGAGAATTGAAAAGAAAAGCATCATATACATATGCATTTATAAACGTATGTGTATCTAAATTCCCCAAAAATTCATATATAAGTGAAGGAATCTACAGACCTGAAATGAAAGCGGAAGAAGCAGGTGCAGCATAGAAGCTGGTGAATAGGAAGAGCGAGAGACAGAGAATCATCACATGAGGAGTAGAAAATGAAAAACAAAAATTCCACTCCATAACTTTGATAGTTCCGATCTGTATCTATGGAACTCCCACCTCTTCTCTTTTTCTACAGATCTCTTCCTTCTGGTTCAATAACTGACACTGACCTTCTCAACTATATCAAATATACATATATATATATATATATATATATATGTATGCGGCATATAGAGGGAGATAGAGACATGATTACAGAGAGAGAGAGAGAGGAGAACATAGAGTACAGCCGGCATTTGCCGAAAACAGGTTTTCATTATAAACCGCGTCAACCACTCTCCAAAGCCACGTCATTACGTGAGTAATAAATACCATGGGTCCAACAGAGTATATTAGATTTTGAGGTTAATTACATTAGACATTCTTAAAGTAATTTATTTTAATTTAGTATTTAATATTTAATTTTAAAAAATATTGAATATATTTTTATATAATCTTTAAAGTAAACATCGTCCAGATTTCAAATAATTTTTTATTATAAATTTTTCATGTAATACTTAAATATAGGCAAAAAAAAAATTTATATAATTCTTGATTAAATTTCTATCAAAATTTAGTCAAAAAAACTACTAAAATTACACAGTTTTAATTATAAACTATTCAAATTTAGTTAACAATTACTCATATTACATATTTTTTGTCGTGAACTACTCAAATTATTTTTTGCCCATATTTAAATATCAAGTGACATGTCTCTAATAAAAAATTATAAACAATTTGAATGTTGTTTGCTTGAGGGATTACATTAAAATTTATTTAATATTTCAATGACCAAAATGATGTAATTGAAATAGTAGGGATTAAAATAAAACAAACTCTATACTTTAAGAATTTCTAATGCAATAACCCTAGATTTTATAAGAAATTAACAATATAATACACACTCTTTTTTTGCACCATCTTATTAAGAAATAAATATTGAATACAACAGTGATACTATGCAATATTGACGTAGTATCATGACTAATAATAGAACACCAAGTAGATAAGATAAACCGTACTTCAATAGTTATTTATTTATACTACTTTAAAATATCAACAATATTGACAAATATTTATTTTTTCATCTTTACCCTCCAACAACGCAAATATGATATTTTTATCCTTCAAAATTAATTGCATATTAAACCTTATTGATCGCCTCTGCTGGTTCCTTTCCTGCTATTAAAAGCAATTCCCTCTCTCTCTCTCTCACGAGCATTCACAGCCCAGCAAAGAACAGCCACTCTCTCTCTCTCCCCCCTCCCCCCTCCCCCCATTTAATAGTCAGTAAATACACAGTCGGCCAGTTTCCCTCTTTCCACCTTCCCCATCTCCCTCACTTTCAATTTAATGCTCTCTTAGTGACTCTACAGATTTATAACTTCTCCCTAAATTGGTTTAATCACACAAACTTGGCCACAGGTTTCGGTTATATCTCCTTGTATCAATAGGTTTTTCATTATAATTACAAACTCTCCAACAGAATACTATCTCTCTCAGTCCCATGATATATCTCTCACGCAACTCTCTCTCTCTCTCTCTCTCCCCCTCGGTCTCTTCATGCCACCAACCCACATGCCACCCACCCACATCCCAACACCACCCTATAGCCACCACTGGACCGCCTTCACCACCATCATTCTTTCTCCGAACTACCTAGTGTCCACTTGCTCCTCTACTGTCTATGGGTTTACTTTGTATTAATGTGATTGGTGGTGCTTTGGCTGATGCACGGCTCATGTTTGATGAAATGTTGCACAGAAGGGTAGTACATGTGGTTTCTTGGAATGGAACTATTGTTGTAATCCAGCCATAGAAGGGTGGTATGTACCATATATTATAGATAAAAACCTCTCTTCTCTATGTATATATAAATACATGCATACTTAATTAATATATTTAATTAAATATAGTTTTATAATTTTGTTTTTTTTGCTGACTCAATAATGGTGATTGGGGTACTAATCCATTTTTTTATTTTATTTTAAAAAGAGTATTAGTGATTGTCTTATTGATGCATTTGCTTGCTTTTGTATTGCTTTACAGTTTTTGGCAGCAAGGTATTTGCTTCATACAGATCAATGGAACACAAGTTTCGGGATTCTAAATAAAAATCAAGAAATTTGTATCAAGGTAGTATATATATGTTACCTAAAATTAAACTTTAAAGTCTCACTCACACTGGTCTTTTTGTTAACAGGTTCTCTTTGTGTTGCGATATCAACAGGCTGTGTCAATAGGTAAAAATTCTCTCTGCTTGAACTATATATCTGTTACAGATCTGTTATAGCCATAATGTTCTGGTTGTGTTCAATTGCAATATTTATTATTTTAGGAAAAAAAAAAAACTATGAGGTATGGAAGTGTCCAGAAAATGTCTGATGATAGGCAAAATGCCTATTAATGTCCACCCCACCCCCACCACCACCAATTGTTTTTTATTTTTTTTATTGGAGCTAAACCTCTTCGAGTTTCAAACTGGAAATAGTCAGGTATGCCAAACTTCTAATCTTCGCACAAAGTTATTTCTTTTCTAAAATGAATTCTACATTTTTGTGTGTTATGGAATTTATCTGGTGAACTACTGGTTGGTACTCAGATTAAACTTCCTTGTCAAAATGCCTACTGCTGGTTGTGCTTTTGGTTCAGCGTAGGCTTGTTTGTCTATTTTTGTTGTGGATGCATCATTGAGGTGTTTGTATATACATTAGCTGATTAATAATGGGGAACTTTTTAGCATTGATATTGTGTGTTGGATTTGCATTGTGAGTCTAAAACCAAGTTTTATCTATTCTCAACTGTTCTCGAGCAGATGAGGCCTGATATTTGCTTAGTCAACATGCTTCCTTCATGCTTTTATAATTTTGCTTTGGAATTCTTCATTTCCACTTGAGATTCAAATTTTTCATTCAACCTTTTTTTCTAATATGTGCATCAAGGATCAATGAAATATCTATTATAGTTTATTGAGAGAGAACAAACTTAGTGTTCGTGACTATATATGAATTTTTATGACTTGATGGACTGCAAGAATTCAAACTACGTTAGTTTAATTATTTAGGAACTTCATGTTGTCATTGTTGATGGTATGATACAAAAGTCCTCTAATCAATTCTATGAAAATTTCATTCTTCCATCATCCTCGGGTATTTATTAAAAAAGACAAATAATAGTAGTTTTTTATCTAACTACAAGAATTTATCCTGGCTAATAGAGCAAGTGACATATAAAACCATTGTAGAACACTAATCTGAGCTAATTTTTTCAATGGTTATGATACAAAAGGCCTTAAATCAAGTCAATAACTGTTGGTACTTACACTAAGAGTGAGCAATAAGAGTTTTATTTATTTATGAAGAACATCAAGCATTCCAGATGAAGGTGTATTCTCTCCTTTATTTGATTAGACTTGTAAAAAAAGAGGGAGATTGAAACTTGGTTGTGTTGATTTCACCATCGTATCTATACATATTTGGTTAGATGTATACTTTTAACAAAGGTAAACAAGGAAAAAGGGTTTTCCCTTTTTTTTTTTTCCCTAAAAAGTAAAAAAAGAGTTTTCCTTATTCTATGGGGGAGAGGAAGTTACATTTCCCTCGTTTTCCTTTGGTTTTATATAAAATAGAACCAGATATGTTATTCTTTTTATTACACTACAAACTTTATTATAAAATCAAAAAGATTGAATGAATATGAAATATGAAATCCCTCTTCCTTTCCATTCATTTTTGCTCGTGGAACAATCCCTCATCTTTTCTTTTCCCTTTTTTTTTTTTTCTTTCTCACAGTCTATCCTCATACCAATTAGACCATAAAAGTTGGACACAACCCATCTCATTGTTATACATAAATAGTGAACAAGCAAAATTCACAAACAGAAAATAACTCTCAATCAAACTGGATAGTTGATTGACATTATATATTGACCTACTTCCGTTTGTACAATAAACAAAAATAAGTCAATTTTGAATGATTTTTTGAATTTTAACTTTTGAATTTTTTTTTTTATGTAACCAGACAGGGGATTATATGAAAAAGGTAGCTTGAGAGTAGAATTGTCTTATTTGATTTTACTTATTTAAACTCAATAGGGAGGAGGTTTGGTATATTTTTTGTGTTCCATTTACCCACCTTCCAATATTTTCACTACTAACTTTCTAGAATACTATTTCATTATCTTTGTTTCCCTTGAATTCATTGAAACTTGATCAATAGCATCTTGCAAAAAAATGTGTATTTTCTTTAATTCATTAATAGTGGATTGATTATAGGCGAGCAAGAAACCACTAAACAAAGAAGAATTGACTGAGAAATGAAGTTGACACATGGAGGCAAATAAAATTGTCTAACAACACATCAGATTAACTTAATATTGAATGTAGATAAGTAATTTGAGGAGCACATGAGTATAAATTTAATTTATTTTGGAACTTAATTATTGATATTTTGCTTCCATAGGAATTTCCTTTAAGCCAAAATGTTGACTCGCAAAAGAATGTTATGCTTTTTTAAAGCCTATGTAGTGACTTGGTTCAAAAATGTATTTGTACTATATTTTAAATTTTTTAAATAGTGTCCATCCTTTATGTTCCAAAGAAATTCTAATGATGGTCAGCGATTATTAGGTTTGAGAGATCTGATGCAAGAATTTACAACTGACATCAACTCTTTTTTTTTCTCAGTTATATATCATTAAATTGATTATAATATCATATATGAAAATTTTCATGTTTAATATTTTATTGGGCACAACACATGTCGAATCTAAATCATTCACCAATTCGATATTTATTAATATTATGAATTTTGGAGAAGTGATTTGCATAAATCTAATATTTCACAATCAAATAGTTCACGTGCAACGCACGTGTGCATCAACTAGTATAATAAAATGGAATGATTTTGAATTCAAGAGACAAAGAGCGGTTCAGATCGTTTCGTGCCAAAAAAAAAATCATCCAATGAACAACACTATCTCAAACTGTCTCGAGCTATTGATGTCTCAAATCATCTCAAAATTTTTGATCTGACACTCAAAATCACACCCTCAATCACATCCTCTTTGTCTATAAGTTATTTCCGAATCTATAAATTTTCAAATACCAAGACTAATCTCTCGCGTATTCTTTGTTCGTAGTGATATAGGTTGAGAAAATCATTCTTTTCCTAAT